TGGGTGGGCCCCAGGGGAGTGGAGTTGGGGAACCAGAGAGAAGGTGGTGGGGAGTGAGCTGGGGGGTCACAGAACACACCTGAAAGTCAGCACCCACACGGCCAGCTCTTCCCAGCAGAGACTGCAGAACCCCAGGACACCGTGATGGAGCGTCTGCATCTCATACAACCCTTTGACAGCACCACCCCTGCCAGCGTGTGAGACAGGAGACCTGCCCTCCCCGCTCAGGAAGTCGCTCCGCAGCTCCTGGCAGCTCCTGTCACACAGACACCCACGGGGCTCCACAGCCACACGGAGCGCAGGCAAGGGGACGCCCTGCCTGGGAACACCTTCGCGCCCATTGAGGATCTGCATCCCGCCATTTGGGGGCTGTCACTACAACTTGCCAGAAAAGATCTGAGAGTAATTTCAATGGAAAGAACGAAATTCAATTCCCCGAGGTGAGAAAAGTCCCCAGACAGGAAAACTCTTCAGGCAAAAATATTTGAGAACACATGTCACCCATGGTGACAAAGATGACACTCTCAGAGCACGGGAGAGACTCACCAAAGGACAGGAGAGCTGCGGGAGTGGTGAGCACATCACTAAGCAAACGGTATTCTGAGTTCACAAGCTCGGTGCGCTGGCTCGGCAGGTCTTCATGAGGTCCTGGGACGCACGGGGCACAGCAGTGATCCTGGCCGGTGCCCTGGGGGGCCCCAAATGGCAGCCTTTGTGGGTTGCATGTGCTACAGACACAAAAACTGTACCATCCAAAAGTCCCTTATCTGAACCCACTGAGGGGTCTCATAGCTCAGAACGCCCTGAATTTCAAAAAGATCACAAAGCTCAGGGCCCCAGGGAGGTCCACAGCAGCACCTCTCAATCAGTCACATTAGCATTCCCCACATCAAACCCAATATCACGCTCAGGGATAAAAGACTATAAATAGCCCAGTTCAGGTCAAGGTTTTGCTCCCAAGTGAGTTCCACGCAAAGCTCCAACACGTTTTCTGGTTTCAGAACCTTTAGGATTGTAAATGCGTTTTGGAAATGAGCTGTTTCCACAGAGGCTTGTCACCACGGAGCAGAAACCATGGGGAGGGTGGCATTTGGCAGAATTAAAGGAGATCACTGATTTGGACTAAGCTCCTGCACTGGGCCCCAGGGACCTGATGAAAATTCACCCATGGCAAAGTTTCTCCTCACCCAGCCAGAAGCTAAGGAGTCACCTGGCCTCTGACAGATCAGGAAAGAGCCACAGGGCCCCATTCCCAAGCCAGCCAAACCAGTGTGACAAGAGTTTCCCGTATCCTTTAATGTCTGCATCCTTTAATCCTAAACACAAAACTACCCTGAAGGATCTCCCCCGCTGCTCCTTTTCTCTGTCCTTGTGTCTCCCTGTCCTTCCCAGGAGAGCGGCTTGGCCATGGCCACCTGCTTTCTTCCTGCTCTTCCTCCATCTATGAAGCCAACCCCTCTGCTGCGCCCACTGAGCATTACTCTGTGGACTGAGGTGCTGCCCGATTCTAGAATTACAAACAAGGCCACCCAAGACCTTCACTAACACCACCCCTCCCCCGCCTCTTCTTCCTTGACAGTGGTAAGCAGCTGGGATCACTGGACTCCAAAGCCAAGACCCTGAGGCCTGGGCAGCACGTGATGCCCACACCCAGCTCAGGAGTGATGGACTGACAGACAGAAGTGCCTGCAACTGTGCTCACGGACCTTCTAGGAAGCGAGGATGGCAAGGCAGATCCGCACTGGAGGGAGAGAGATGAGGCTGCTCTCAGGCAGGATGGAGAGAAGATCAGGATTCAGGAGAGAAGCCAGGCACAGCAAGGGCACCTCTGAGAGGCGCTCCCACAGGGCCAGAGAGGTTCCCCTGCGGTCAGGCCCTCCTGGCCTGACTCCCACAAGGCCGCTCGGTCTCACAACCACAGGATCTCCCTCTCACTGATGTGTGGCAGGGTTGGATTTGATCCTACCACGCACTGAGCTACGGAGACCGGCTCAGCCTGCAGAGGAGCCAAGAACAGAGCCGTCTCTGGGATCAATTCTTCTCAAATGTTTTGGGACCTACTCCAGAGCACTTTTATAGCCATCAGGCCTTGCAGTCTTCCTCTGAGGCTTTAGGCAAAAATTAATAAAATGAAACAGCTACAGATACCGAGAAGACCGTCCAGAATGCTAACACAGTCGCGCAGAATCTTCTGCAGGAATGTCTGAAAGGGCAGCCATTACATTACAAAGGCTGGAGAATTCTCTCCTTTCTCTCTTCCCCCACCCACCC